TTTTTTTTTTTTTTTTTTTTTTTTTTGGTTTTTTGAGACAGGGTTTCTCTGTATTCCTGGCTGTCCTGGAACTCACTCTGTAGACCAGGCTGGTCTCGAACCACTACTGCACAGCCATTTTTGTATTCTTAATTGTTGCATATTTAGAGAGCAAAAGTGATTTGGGTTTACTTATATTCACCAAAGTCCACATACATGATGTTGAAAATTAAGGCCCCTAGGATGAGGCTGTGTTGAGAGGGGCAATGAGAAAGAAGAGATATGCTGTGATATATGTATGGTCCAGGAAATCCCAGGCAATAACTTCTGTTGTCTCCACTTTCTGGTCCACCAAAAAAACTATCAACCAAAGACACAAATATGAAAAGAGATACTTCTAGAGTTTGTTCCAGGTCACAGATTCTATTTTAGATAAACTAAAATGGCCATCTCCAGCAAGTAATAATAAACTAGTTTAACTATAGATTCAAACAATTTTATACTACCACCTTTGTTCTGTTTGTGCTCACTACCTTTAAGACTTTGAAAACAGTCTTTATTTCAAACTGTAATTAATTGCTTACCTATAACTGCTGACCTTTAGTTTCTCCGCTACCTTTTATGCCAGGGGATTGATACCTACAATGGCTTGCCCTCGGTATTACTTTCATTCCAAAGCCCTGCATGCAAAGAAGAATTCTGGTAGCCAGCTGTACCATTCCCTACTGCACTCCACAGGGAAATGGCCATTAGTATCTTCTATGCTTTTATGCTATCATTATAATATTCAGTTCACTCTAATGGTACTCATAGATTGTAGTCTGCTATTTGTTCTCATTTCATGTTGTAATATTATTTATTGAAACAAACCTTTAGGCTATATGGCTTTACCTGAAATTTTATTTACAACTTATACCACGCAAAGTGTCTTTTCCTATCTGAGAAAGCATATTAAGAGAAAGCCATAGTTGCTACCAAAGAAAGCCAGTCTCTAGGATAATCATTTATTTCTCTTTCTATCTAGGCCCACATACATAAAAGAGATACACATTGAAGAAAACATTAAGGAGATTCTACCAGTGCTGAGGCTGTCATTATGTAAATTTGTTATATTCTCCATTATTGGATCTGGGGGATCCTTGTTTTTTGAATATATATATATATATATATATATATATATATATATATATATATATAATTTTCTCCCTTTCTCCCCCCTTTCTTCTTTTCTTTTGGGTATTACATAGCCTAGGCTGGCCTCAAAATTACTACAAAGCCAAGAGGGATTATCTTGAACTTCTGTTCCTCCTTCCTCCACCTGCTTAATTATGAAATTACAGATGTATGCCACCATGCCTGGTCTATGGTGTGCTGGGGATCAAATCCAAGACTTTGTGCTATTAGACAAACTTTATACCAATTAAGCTGCATTATATTTCTTAAAACATGTAAAATATTTCAGTACTTTATAGCATAGTTCCCAAGATGAGGGATTATTTTGATAGAAAAAGGGGAAACACTCATTTCCTAGGATATGTCTGTAATTGCAGCATTTAGGAAACTGGCAGGAATTCAAATTCAAGACCAGCCTGGCATACATAATGAGTAGAGTTCAACCTAGGTTACATAGCAAGTCTTTGTTTCAAAAAACTAACTTATCATGAACTGAATATACAAAAAGATCAGTGTTTCTGGATTCACTATGAACTCTTACATTGTGTTAGTTTTTTTCCTCAGGACATCTATTACTTAAAAATATAACTACAGGGGCTGGAGAGATGGCTCAGCGGTTAAGAGCACTGACGGCTCTTCCAGAGGTCCCGAGTTCAAATCCCAGCAACCACATGGTGGCTCACAACCATCCGTAATGAGATTGGATGCCCTATTCTGGTGTGTCCGAAGACAGCGACAGTGTACTCATAAATAAAATAAATAAATAAATCAAAAAAAAAATTAAAAAAAATATAACTACATTTGAAATTGTATGCAAAGGCTTACAATCTAATTCATTAATGCTTTGTAGTATTTATCAACACAGCAGGCATCCAAAGACCTCTGAACCATCATAGTGGGGAATGAACCTTTCTACATTATAATTCTAGATTTAAAGTCCTTTCTGAGCTGTGTAATGGCTACAGGAAAAGTCTGATGTCTTTTATGACCATGGTGCAAATTGTGTATAGCTGTGATGTCCCTGGAAGGCTTATAATAGCTACTTTTTATTCTTTGATTTTTAAAATATAGTGAAAATACAGTTACATAGCATTTTTAGATAGACTACTTAAAGTGATCTATAATTTTAAATTGTATTGCGAATCAACTAGAAAAGATTCATTATGTAATGTAGTCATAAAGGACTTTGTAGTACTCCTTCAACTCTGTGGGTTTCCTCTAGCATAACTGTATGTTCCTCTTCCACATATGATCTTGTTAAGATTTTTGTGGTTTATGTTATATCTAGAAGGTATAAGATGAAAAAGAAAACACAACTCAAATGGTTGATTTTATTCCTTTATTCGCTGGCTTTAAAAATTCTTAAGCTGGGCTTGGGAAATTGCTCAGTTGATAAAGTATCTGCCAGGCAAGGATGAGGACTTGATTTTGCCCAGAACAGGGCAAGGTCATGTATGTCTTTAATCTCAGCCTTAGGAGGGGAGAGGGATAGACACAGGTAGATAGATCCCTAGTACTAATTGGTCAGCCAGCCTAGCCAAATCAATAAGCTTCAAATTCAGTGAGAGAAACTATCCTTTCTACCCCCACAAAGGTATAAAGTCATAAAGATATGGTATAGTCATGTTATTCATTGTCTTTCGGTAAGGTCACTTACTTACTGAAAGTAAGGTCAGTGATACACACTTAGATTTCTAATGTAAGGATTTTGTAAAAAGTCTCATAAAAGTCATTTGTCTTGCCTTTAGTCACTACCAGAGCCCAGAAATGTTCTCATTTACCTTTTAAACTTAGATTATGTATATCACTTTAGTAATGAAGTAAACAAATCGGATCGCCTATCTATGGGCTGCCTCTAGAACTGTCCTCAAGAGATCACTTCAGTTAGCAAATATTCTTTTTAAAATGTGCTAGACTCTTTGTTACTCTTAAACAGTTATTTAATTTTTCATTTAAATATTTATATAAAATATGCACATATATTTTGTAGGATAATGACTTAGAAAAGGACTGCATATTAACTGGATTTATTTTTAGTCAATGTAAAAATCAAAGGATTTTTTTTTTTTTTTTTAGCTGAAAGGAGCATGCTTTTCTCATGCTAAGAACTTGTTTACTGTTCTATTGCCCACATCTTCCTCTCTTTAAATTCTAAACTGATCCTCAGTTTTTAATCCCATTTAAAATTATGTCTTACTACTAATACAAATATAGTCTGTGACCAAGTTGGTCATAAGGATTGAAATTAGACATGTAGAATAAGAACATGTACCATCTTCTTCTGGTCCTGTGTTACTCAGGTCCTTGGTACATGTATCCTAGTGTGTACACTGTTTAGTTCATCTTAAATACTTGGTTTTGGCTGTCCAAGCAGTCTGTTCTTTAATCTCAATTCATAGGATAATTTGGAAAACAGTATAGTCCTTTACTCTGAGTAGGTATTTATGGAATAAGCCATACATAATGACATTAGAATCAGTTAAACATGATTTTTTTCTCTTTTTATGCACTACTTGACATCCAAAGCAAAAAGAGGTAAGTTGGTTATAAACATCTAGGTGAACCATATTTTCCCTAATAAATTTATTCATGACTAGCTTTGCCTGAACTAAATTTCCATAGAACAAATACTTCTACATCAAGAAGCTTATTATTGTAAATTCCTTTTAAAATGTGTAAATATCTTCTGTAAAATTGTATTTTTAAATATATTATTTAAACATATTGCTTTTCCTGTAAATTCAGATTTAACTTAAATCTTAGGACATTTGGAAACACTTCACTCAGTCTGGATTATTGTTTGCCTGATAATGTGTATTGCACATTATATGAACTCTTTTCTTAATATAAGAAAAAGAAAAACACTGAGCAAAAGAACATCACAACAAACCAAACCAAGAAACAATTGATACCAGGAAAAGTCTTTAATTTTGAGATACATTGATTTGTCGAAGAGGATGTCCAATCTCAGAATGCTCTCCAGTGTAATTTTTCTGCAATAATTTAAAAATGAAAATTATGAAATAAGAGAAAAATCAAACACATTTTATTGAGTGGTATCTCATAGATTTTTCTTGACTGATATATATCCTTATAACTGAACTTTTTAGTGAAGTCCTGGATATAATTTGTTTAACTTATTTCTCCTGTGTTTAATGGTTAATTAGGACATTAAAAGATGATCTGGATTTGATACATGCTTCTTAACTTTGCCTACCAAGGATTAAGTGCCTTATTATCTTGAGTTAACTGTGCCAAGTTGCATTGCTTTTGAGAAGGTTATTTCTAAACAAAGGGTCATGTTTGAAAAGGTGTTTAATTGGTATGAGAATCTGGCAACACAGTATACTTTTACCTCTTGGTGCCACTGTAAATAATCTCTCTCTATCCCTTTATCATCCATTTCTGTCATGCTCATTATTTATTCCTAAATTGTTGAGAGGCAAAAAGATGCAGTTTATATATTTCCCTTTTGTAAGATATGTATAAAATGAATTTTTCTATAAACATTGTTTTATTTTATTGACTAGCCATATGATATCATAGTATCATAAGGCAAGATAAATAAAGTTTTTGTCTAATTTGCAAACAGAAAAATTCTTCTCTGCTTAGCAAATAGTTTTAATACTTTTCAGAGTGTGATAAACTTGTATGCCATTGTCAGTTAGGAAAGGCAGAACCAAATGTCTTTTAAAGGTTTGTTATTATTGCTTGGGTTATATTAATATCTTTTAATATTTCATCAAGTCCGTAGTTTTGTTCTCTGAAGAATTTTAATGCATAAAAACTATTTCAGACTATCAAGGATATATAGATATAATGGAGTTTGCTGTGTTGAACACTGAGAGTCTGGTGCTATAAATTAGCAGATTATACCCCAGAGAAGTTGGAAATGATGCTATCATTTTATTGGTGGTTACTTTCAGAGAAACCTAAGTGTTTCTAGGACATGTGATACAATTGGCAAAAAGGGATGAGATAGCCAACTCTATGTGTTTGATTATAAATGAAAGTTTAATTGTGACCTACCAAATGTTGGTCACAGCTACCTATTTTTATTAGTGTCAATGTATCATTAACTCATTACTGGAATTTTGAAAATATCTTACTGACTACAATTAGTATTTATGTGTTTCTATCATGTCCTCTTATTTTTCTTCCTATAGTATTTCTATTCCAAGTTTTTCTCATGTTTTCCTGTTATTTCAGTTGATGTACTTGGGAATCATACTTAAGATGTGTGCTTGACATTTCTTTCTGTTAGTTCATGAATCCACTATTAATAACTTGTAGATTTAGTGAGGAATAATTTATTATTGTTATTGATATATTTTAAATAATAATTTAAATTTTATTTTTCTGATTTAAAGCCTCCAAGTATCAAAAAGAAAAATTAATATTAGTATATTAACTTTCATATCTGTATTAGATATCATTTCCTTTTTTTATTCTTTTGTTAGAAACATATTTTGATTGCAGGAATGCTTGATTCTCAAACTTCCTTCCTCAAATTAATCTGTTAAACATTTAAAAAATACTCATAGAGAAAAAAGTCACAAATCTTTTAAGGGAAGTGGAATCAGTACATTAGCAAATATTTTACACCACATTGAAAATTCCCTACACAAACTACTGTGGGGAAATAAGTAGCCTTAATTAGACATTCTTCAAGGAAAGTTGCCAACAAAGACTGATGGAGGTGAGTGTTGACAGAGCTTAAAGAAGTTTTCTTCTGGGATGATGGGGATTGCTGCCCCAGACTAGACGGTTCTGAGAGAGAAAGAATATTTCAAATGAACATACAGATAGGAGCAAAGGCTTTTGCAAACAGATTCTTTATATTGTTTATTTTGAACGTTCTTACTTTTTTCTTACTTACAGTTAGTCCCTTTACTTATTTCTTGAAGTAAAAAAAATCAGTCATAACCAGACCTTACTTTCCTTTGTCCTGTTGTCTAATCAGTGGGCTCTGGGCTGCATGCTTTCACAATTCTCTCACCTGATTTTCATGGAAATCCTGCAAGACTATTGTTTAATTTCTGCACTTATCAAGTGAGGATTAAAATGATTTCTTTTGTCACTTAGTCACTGGTCCACAAAGCAGGAAGCCAAACACAATGTCTTTTTAAGTGTGTGGCTCTGTAGTAGAGTCCAGCTTAACGTTTTTGAGAACTAGACATACCAGAGATAAATCCATACTATATTAGTTACTTTTATGTTGCTATGATACAATCCAATGACCAAAAAAATGTATAGAAGAGTTTATTTTGGTTTAGAATTCCAAAGGGAGAGTCTATAATGATAAGAAAGGCATGGCAGCAGGTGGCTGGGTTAGGAAGTTTGCTTGACAACATTGCAGTAGAACACAGGAAGCAGAGAGAGCCAACAGGAAGTTTCATGAAGCTATGAAGTCTCAAAGCCTTCCCACAACAATATACTTCCTAAAACTTCCTAAACAGCACTACAAATTAAGGACCAAGGATTTAAATGTATAAGCTTATGAGACTTTTTCCCCCAAGCCACAAAAAAATGCTTAGTTCTTTCTGATAGACTTTGAATACCAGGCTGAAAAGGAGAGTTGAACAGCATAAGACAGAGAAGGCAGTAGAAAGATGTCAGGAGTCATCATAGGACAAACTAACAACTAGCAGGTGATCTTCTTGAAATGACTTTGCTTTAGATTATATCTAAGATGAAGCTCCAACAGTCAAGGCCCAAGAGAAAATCATTTTAGGAAAGATTCCTGCTATTAATATGCTTTTCCTGTTAAACATATATAACAATCACTAGGTATTAGCCCACTCCTTTTGAACAGATCTCTACAGATCTACAAAGATGTACAGTCTTGTAGTGATGCTATATAGACAAATAGATGACTTTTCGATTCTTAATGATAATCCTATAAGAATTCCTAAAATTATAACAGTGGTTATTAAGTTCTTTTATAGTGGGGCTGTTATTAGATCCTTTTCTACTAGTCAAAACTGCAATGAGGACGCTGCCAGTCTCCCATGTGTCACCAGTTAATTGTCTCTTAGATATTAACCAGACTTTCTACTACTTAGAGCACATTCCAAGAGATTGTAAAACAATTAATCAAAGGTCATAAAAAGGGAACTAATGATTTATTATAGGTGCTAGGACAGAAGATAAAATATTGACTGGGTTTATCTATACAAACCTTCACTAATATCTTAGTTATGGTTTTTAACTTTCAATGAACCTGTGGAGCTCTGACAGGTGATAGATGTTTAGCCAGATAATTACTCCTAATGGATATGCATGTAAACATTCTCTGTCATAAACTTCTATTTCAATTTATGATTTTATTTTATTGTGAATGTGTGATGAACTTTTTAACATGTGATCATGTATTCTGAAAGATGTATATGTGCTGAGGACAAGAGAGAAGAGTCAGAACTGAGCTGAGGAGAACATTTTTGGACAGATCTCTTCTTAGACAAAGAGGAGAAGCAAGAAAAGAACTTTTCCCTTGCCCCACTTAGGATCTTGCCACTTTCCCCTTTTCTTAGATAGCTTTCACAGGAAACTTTTTACAACTTAGTAATAAAAGTTAGAGCCGTGCAGTTCCCACTGAAATAGAACAAAGGTCACATTACTTAATCTCTTGTTGTTAGACTACAGGTGTCAATCACCTAAGCCAGCAGCTTTTTACCCTCAGAAAGAGCAAGAACAATTTTAGGACTTTTAGAAATTATCATCAACACTTCAGTATAGTTAGAGAACTAGAATGTCTGGAGACCCTCAGACTTTAAAGCTACACTAGAATCCTACTTTGTGCCCTGTCTCTATCCTTTCCAGGACAGGAAACTCCCGGCATAAAGAATGCCAGGAAATGGTGACAGAAGTTTTACTGAGTAGAGGCAGGGAATACCTTGTGGAATGCTCATCATCTATCATGGTAGGTCTTACATTACCTTACCTGAGGACCTGAGTGTGTCTGTACTGATTACATGGAGAATGCTTTTGTGTTATTATCCACAAACTGCAAACTCCCGTGTTTGTAAGTAGTAGTTGTAATGATTCTTTTTTTAATCTTCACACACAGTGTATAGAAGTTTATATTTTTCTAATAATGTAATTACCCAGATTTTATATTCTGTCATCAGATTTTGCTTCTAATACACATACATATATACACACATGTATATATAAAACATAATATATATAAGAAATATATTGCTAAAAGGTGCTAAAATACAAGTGTGGATTTTCATTTATAATTTGTTATGTCCCTTTATATATATTGTTGGGCTTTGAGTTTTCTTGACTTAAAGTATGTTTATTTACTTCTATCCTTAAATAACTTTAAAGGTAAAGAAATGTGAGAGTACTTGGCTGCTATGGATTTTATTGGACTGATGTACTCTTGGTAGAAATTTGGTGTTACCATTGCATCTACTTTAGAAAACATTTTCGTTGCCTTGGACTGTGGTTACAAAATACCAGAGACCAAACAACTTAAACAACAAATTTTACTTGTTTCTTTGTTTATCTGTTTTCCCACATTAAAA